GAGAGAGAGAGAGAGAGAGCTGTGCCAGGTTATTATCCAGGGAGAATCGGGGGAATTGGAGCAGTTGCCAGTTACAACACCTTTTATTGACAGGACCCAAAATTCAACATGAGCCGTTCTTATGTGACATATTTGAAATCTTAATGAGATTTGATGAAATCGTGAGTTTGGTTCCACATGAATAAAGCGCTACAGGGTGTTCACAAACAGCACAGTGTACAGGTAACCTACTTGTTGCCTTCTGCATGGTCAAACAGGCAGCCATAACCTGGATCTCTGGATTCAGGCTCCTCTGCAGTTTATATATTTATGACTCACCTGTTAACAGTGAGCACACGTCCTATCATCAAACTACTTCGCCCATTTTTTTTTTTTACAACGTGCACTCCATTTGTTGCCATAGGGACCAATAAATGAGAATCCTAACTGACCCACAATAAAGAATCAGGGCAATGAAAAAGAAGAAAAAGAAGCCATATGTTGAGATGAAAGGTGACTCAAAGGGACTGGACTAGAGGTCTGTGGGATAGGGGGATTTTTATTTTTTGAATGAGTGGAGCGTTCAAGGTGATGAGATGCAGCACAGTTTGGCTGTATGCATCCATGAGTGTGTGTCTCTGTGTGTGATGCACATTTACGCCGCTGGGTGGCAGTAAATGCATATAAATTGTACTGATACATTACTCTGCTTTATGTAGACAGCATGTATTGACAGTCAATGGCTCAGACTAATCAATGATTTTTAGTTTAATCTTTACTTTAATGTTAAAAAAATGAATGAACTCTACAATATAGCCTATGCTTACTTCAGACAATGCCAGACCAGTTAAACTTACAAAACTATGTAGTACATAGTAAAATTTTATTTTATGAATAATTTTGTTTTATTCTATCAATATATAGGGTATTGTTTTTTATTTATTTTTTCTTACTTCTTAATTCGTTGTGTAATTTGCCTAATTATTTGACTGTTTATCACCATCTGTCTCTATTTCATTCATCCATAACAGAAAAATATTGAGACAAAAAACTGGCTACTTTACATCAACCTTATGTAAAAATTGTGTACCCCTAAAGCAAATATGCCAATAAGTGATGTAGGATTGGTTCAGTGACACTTGGCAGATGCGCATCGTAGAAAACATTTGAAAGTGGGACACTGCTATACAGTACTTTTCACAGTAAATACAATATAGTAACTCTCTCAGACAATGCAATACATGTCCGATGACAACTAAATCAATTAAAAGGTACAATTGTATATTTTATTTATTATTATTGCCAATTCTAAGTTTATGCAAGTTACTGATGGTCAATATAGCAACACCTGCACATTAATGTAATACCATCAATATAACCACACAACTAACGAAAAGTACAATTGCGTTTTGATTGGTATGAAATTATTTATCATTATAATTATTAATTATTTATTCATTTTTTATTATTATATGGTTTGTTCGTTTTTTGTGTGAGTGTGTGTGTGTGTGAGAGTGTGTGAGAGAGTGTGTGTGTGTGTGTGTGTGTGTGTGAGAGTGAGAGTGTGAGAGAGT